TGACCATTTCCGCGAATTCCTGTTTGGCGATTTTTAGTCTACCTGGAGCTAAGCGGCGTGGGCGGCAGGCTATTGGCTGACCAGGTGTCGTGAGAATGTGGTGCACTGTTTGATGTTTTATTGTCCTGGGCAATCCGGTGGGACGTGTGATGTCCGGAAATTCTGCGGGAAGTGCAGCCCAAGGGGAAGTGTTGGCAACTGATTTTATGCTGCATTGATTTACAAAGGAAACCTTACCATTCACAGCCAAGCCTGTGACACCATCAATAAGACGTTTGGTACGGCAATCCGGCAGCAAGTGGTAGTATGCCATGAAGTCGGAACCAATGATAGGAGTACTCACGTCGGCGACAATAAAACTCCACGGGAAACTGCGTCGAAGTCCTAAATTCAAATTGAGATGGACCGTCCCGTAAGTTTTTATGGTACTGTTGTTGGCCGCGCTGAGGTCGTAATCGGTGGCATGGCGTCGTTCCCGTAGTAGCCGTTGAGGGTAACAAGATAAGTCGGAACCGGAGTCGACTAAAAATTGGCGTTTTGTTATTTGATCTGTAACAAACAGGCGGCTGCTCGGGTTCGGACAGTCTGTTGCCGCCGCTACTGACTGTCGTTGGAGTTTTCCTGATACTTGCAGGGAGCCTTACATTTGGCAGCCTTTTCTCCATAAGTGCTATGATACCAACACCATCCTTTGCCGTTAGTCAGTTCCACGTTTGAACGGTTACGTGACCTAGAGCGGGAACGTTGCGGGCGTTTAGCACATAATTCGCTTACCTGTTTTGTGAGTGCTTCAATGGCAGCTAAAACATCGAGTTCCTTTTTATTATTCGTCGTGGCAACAGCATAGACGAATTGCGAGGGGGCTGGCTGCACTTCAACAATTTTGTCAGCCAGCTCGGCTACCTTATCCAGAGGAAGCTCTGATTGTGCGGTTAAAATAGCTTGTGCATGTGATGGTAGACGGCGGAGCCAAAGTTGACGTAAAATATTGTCTTGTAATGTAGTAGTGCCGGCAAGGGAACGGAGATGTCGTAAGAACTGTGATGGCTTACGGTCACCTAGTTCTTCTTCATTGATGAGTTGCCGCACACGTTGTTCTTCTGAGATAGACAACCGTTCAACGAGTTTTGCGCGTAGATGTTTGTAGCGTTCAGTAGGCGGTGGGTTAGTAATAATATCCTCTACTTCGGCGGCGTAACGCGTATCAAGCTGAGCCACAACATAATTAAATTTTGTTTCCTCACTTGTTATTCCCGAGATTGCAAACTGCGAGTCAACCTGTGAGAACCATAAGCTTGGTCTTTCGGACCAGAAAGGTGGCAACTTGACGGCAACGCGATTCACTGAAGCTGTTGGATATTGCTGTGCCTGTAGTGCTGCAAGGCGAGCGTTTTCTTGACGTAACTCCTCCAATTGATTGCGTAGTTCTTCGGCGTTCATACTTGTTATCGTAGAGGTCACCAATGTAGCGAGGTGTAATATATAGAAGTAATAAACACTTTTACGATTTAATAACAACTATACTATATTACAACGAACTAACAAATAACAGCGAGAGACGAACTATATTACAACGAACTAACAAATAACAGCGAGAGATGAAGCGCGTTTAAGACAGAATGCGTAAGTGATTGACTGATCGACTGACTGACTGGAGCGACGATCTTGCCCTTAAATAGTCAGAGGAATCTTCTAGAGGCGGCGTCGGAACTCTCTAGACATTCGACCACCACACGCTTATGTAGAGCGACGAATCTTCTAGAGGCGGCGGCGGCCGAACATTCCAGAATATTCGACCGCCACAAAGGTAAACAATTTGTAAAAAGTGTCTGTAAAGAATCTTCATTCAAAATGATATCAAAGAAAAATAGGTTTTATGGTGTATAGAAATGGACTTTATCTTCTTCTATTTCTCCGAATTTTCCTTGAATAGCCTCATCAAGGCTTTCCAATTTTGAGTCAATTTCATCAATCGATTTAATTGGCTGTTTTTTTTCATCTGTTATAGTACATGCCAAAAATTCTAATAACTCTTTTTTCTTTTTATCTTTTTTGAGGTAATTTTTATTTGGTTTTTACTTAGACTGATCGCTACAGAAATGCTATGAGTTTTATTAGAAATTCTAAAATATGTATCACGTTCTTCCAATTTGCCTAGAGGCTGATTAAATATATCTGTTGGATACTCATCGATCGAATTGCTGTCAAGAAAATATGTTTTTGATTATTCATGTTATCGTTGTGTTACATCGAGTTGTTGTCGGTTTTCTCTCTATGTTACCATTGTCGCAGCCATCTTAACGCTTCTTCTGTAATAAGCTCTATGGCGTTTGCGAGTCAGTAATTTTGTATTCGTTTTGATGTAAAAAGAAATTATCACCTTTGCGATTGTCGTACCCTGTGCGTTCAGTTTATCGCCGTTGGGTCTATATATTTCAATATCCTTTCAATATTCAACATTATCATTAGCCGTTTCATTTAGCAGATAAGTATAATGCTTGTTCATTTATCTTTCTAAGATTCATTTGTATAATTTATTATTTGTTTATATCATCGCCTTAGGGGCATTAGTATAAATTGTCCCCCCATCCACATTGGTGTATATAAGATTTTATATTTCTTGTATACTACATTTAATTGTTATAATCATATCTTGTGAAATTTATTCTACATTCTAACATACAGTCCACTCACCTTATTCTTTATCCTCGACATAGCTAAAAACTTAAAACAAAACAAAACCACAAACGTTAACGAACCCGCGTGAATACCACCGGGCGCTGCGTCCAAACAATATCAATTGAATTTGAAAGTATACTAAGCTCCCATAACCACTAAATATTGTTATTGGATGGCAAACTTAATATTTGTGCGATTCGCTTACCGAGTTCTTTGAACTTGTCATTGATTTCTTTTCTTTCGTTTACTTTTATCCAATTTTCAAATATTTCTAAAATATTTTGGATTTTTTTTACAATATTTCTTGGAACTTCAAGATTATCCGCATTGATTCCATATTTAAAGAGTACAATATTAAATAAAAAAATGAATCCTACCTTGGCTGCTATGTTCATGATCAAATAGATATTACCTAATTAAATTGATTTTTTTTATCGTTTTGAAATTTAGTTGCCAGATACACTATTGAAAGGAAACTCAATACGTTAATTATGTACTCTTCTACTTAATAAAATCTAAAACAGGCATTTTTAGTTTTTAAATTGTAACAAATCAACTCTTAAATAAACACGGTAAAAAATTTGACACCTTTTTCTTAAAATAATTGTAAAAAAAAATATAAAAAATTATACTTATGTTAACTATGTATTAACTTATGTTAAATTAAATCTAAATTTAATAACCACTGAAAAACAAGAAATTTATATTTTTATTTTAGATTTAAAGTAATCAAAGTTGTTAAGCAATGGAAACGTGATTCATTCTCACGATTATTATTTGTTTAATAACGAACTTAACATTGATGTTTTTTTAAGTAGTAGATTGTATTAAAACGATACGTATATATAAGTTAAACAGTATGTCCGGGCGCGAATTTGTATTAATCCGAATTTGGTTAATTATCAGAAAAAAAAACATTGGCCGGTCTCTTTATTACTATTTAATACTATAAAATTTCTTTGATAAGCCGCACCTGTACACACCGCCTACCTTGAAATAGCATTTCAACAATGCTCAATAAAATTAAATACAACAACGATAAATATAAAAATTACATAAATATAAGAAATGTGTTAAAACTGGATAATGACAATCAATACAAATGTATTACCTTTGATATGACAACATAGTTTAAGTTTAAACTAAATAAATATATCAGTCAACAATTACTTCATGAATACATTTTGATGTTTACTACATATTTGATTTAAAATATTATATTAATCTTAACACTTGTGAGCAATAAATGACAGAATAAATAATAATAAATTTAATGATTTCGTACAAAATTACAATTTTAAATCAGCTTACATAAATAATAATTTTACAAGTTAGTATACCGTTCATATTTTGCAGATATAATAAATAATATTTTCGTAAAACATAAAGTAACAAAATTTTTCATTTTTTAAGAAATGTCGAGTTATTTTGAAAATTCTTATTTTTCAGATTTATATTATCATTCATACTTTTAATTTTTATATCATTATGCAAGTCTTCAATATTTTCTTTATTGAACAAAATTGGATTCTTATTTTGAGTTCGAGTAATCAAATCATTCATATGATTTCTATTATTTCCATTACAATTCTCATTTAATGATTTTGCATTTATTTTATATAGTGATTTATTATCTTCTTTTTCTGTTAGATCATTGTTTGTCATTGTTTTTACCGCGCTATTATCAAAAAATTAACTTAAATTTTTTTGTAAATGTGTTGTAACTTAAAATTCTAGTTTTACATACCAAGGAGAATGAGAGATAGAATGTNTTTTACATACCAAGGAGAATGAGATATAGAATGTGTAACTGTTTGATTTTTTAAGAAAAGTCGAGCTGTGTTATTTTGAAAATTGTTATTTTTCAGATTTATATTATCATTCATACTTTTCATTTTTATTAATTCTTTTTGTAATTCTTTGTTTTTATTTTTTTCTAAAATAATATGGTGTTGATAACTCTTGCATTGAAGTTCTAAATTTTTCATCAAATTCTAAAAAAAATTTTAATCAAGTTACATTATAATTTTATTAATCCAAAAAAAATTTGAAATACTTCAATTTTCTTTTCCTGATGTGAAATTGTATTTTGTGCGTCTTTCAATTGATCTTGTAGTTTTTCTCTTTCGTTTAGATTTTTATTTTTAGATAAATTTAACAAATGATTATGTTTTTTAGTCATCATAGAAAGCTCTGTACTCTGTGAACGGTACCTATTTTCTAATTCCTTATAAGTACTTTGCATTTGCTTTATTCTTCCTTTGTATACTTGTATGTCATCATTTAATGATTTCATAATTTGAGGTAATTTAGCTTCTGTACCCTCGTAAAATAATAAAGCATGTTCTTGACGTTTTTCCATAGTTTTTAATATTCGATTTTCAGTTAATAATTTCTAAAATTAAACAGATTATTTTTATTAAGTCATGATTTTTAAATTTTCTTACTTGATATTTGTTTTGTATTTCAACATTTTCATTTTCCAGTTGTTGTATTTTAATTATTAGATTATCACGCGTTACATTTTTTAAACGAGATACAGTGGTTTGATTGCCTGTATTTTTGCTTAATACTGTTTTACGAGATATGTTCGTGTTAGCTAATATAGTGTCATTATAAATTAGGCTTCATTAATATTTATATATTGTAAGATGTTTTTTAAAACATACGTTGTCGTTTGGTAACCGATAATTTATTATTAGTTAAAGGCTTTATTATTTTCTTTTTATTCTGTGGTTTAGGAGCACGAGTAAAGTTTTTACTGTTTTGACTAGGCAGCTCCACTGGATATTGACAAACTGTCTCACTTAACCATAAAACAAGTTAATATAATATTGTAAAAATTAAATATTATGTTTAGTGTCTTTTACAATTAAACTTAATATTTAAACGTTTACTTAGAATTGTTATTTTTACGGCACAAATATTTGAATAGTTCATGAGCTTTATTGTTGTTCATCTGTCTAGATACTGTACGAATTCAATATACTTAAAAGTAAAAAGAAAATACTTATAATGAAAAATATAATTTGAGTTCGTAAATTAAAACATTTATTATTGTTGATATTTTTATTGTATAGGTCATAGATACCATTGTTTTTTTAACCCATAGCAACAAGAAACAACAAATATAATGCTGGCTGTTAAAGACAAATCTTAAAAATATGTTATATGTATAATACAAATTAAGATAAAATATTGTTAGGGAATTAGATAATTTAGGTATTTTTACCTTAATTTCAAGTTTTTTAATGTTTTTATATTTATGTGTTTTATGATTACAATGTGTCCTATATTACTATGAAAAGTAAAATAAAATACCCCAAGTTGTTTGTTTTATACAGATATTTGAACATTTCTATTTAAATATTGTTTTTATAGAAAAATATAGTTGATTTTTAGAGGAAATAGAAAAATTTTGCTTAAAGGTGGTAAAAAACTAAATATCTCATTCTAAACAAAAATATTTTAATAATATGTTTGAATTATTTTGTCTGATTAAAAGTCGAATAATTATTTCTTTTAGAATAGAGCTATACGATTTATTAAATGGCAATCATTAGCTGTTGCATTGGCTTACTGTCAAACAAACTCTTTAATCATTGATGATGTTGTGGAGCATAAAAAAGTTTTGAATTTAAAACGACCCATATAAAATTTTACTCATAAATATCTATTACAACAAACGTGCAGTTTGTCAGTTAATTCATCATGTCAAATGATAACATTAGCCGCTGTGGCTCTTGAAGAATTAAAAAAAGAAATACGAGTATTAAAAAATCATTTATAACAATAAAATTAATGTTTCATTATGGTACTCTTGTGTTTTAGAGATGAACTGTATTAATTTATTGATACATTAGAAAATAATGTCTGGTCTAGTGAAGAATTAGAAAAAGTATTGTTAGAATGTCGTTTTAGTGTAGAAGAAGCAAAAACATTATACCTGGTTACATAATTTTTTATTTAAATTTTAATATTATAATATTAAGCTTTTTTTATAGTATTTATTCATTTTTTTTCTTATAGGATTCTGTAAGTGCATTAGATTCTGCTCTTCAATTTGGTCAATCGTCATTACAAATTTCATTTATTATGGAAGCTAATACTGTTCTTAATATCATGTCAGAAAGAGTTTATGAAACAGAAAAATTGGTATAAATTATAATTCAACTATATTGTTCTAGATATTTTAATATTTGTTGACAATTTTTCTTTCAATATATTTATGAAGTAACTCGATTAATTGCTGATAAGTTATTTAGCTTAAAATTAATGGACATTGTACATATTTTATTATACTAAGTATGACTGATTGTATCTATTGATGATTGCATTCATTATTTCTTTTTAATAGGTTAACATTTTATCTATACATTAAATTACGCCAGAAAACTAGAATACAATGTGTAAAAAATATATAGGTGTTACAAAATTTTCCCAACAATTATTTTACCATCTATACAATTGATTTGCCTTTAATTTTGAACATGATTTATTAATATTATTTCTTTTTATTATTAAAATTAAAAGTATATTTAAAAAACAATTTGTTTTTATAATTTTTTTTATGCGATTAACTATTTGTTTAAAAATATAGATTTAAAATAGAAGTTCATCATTTATTTGGTTTTTATAATACCGGAGGCAAAAATAATTAATTTTTTCCACACTGGTTATTTGACAATATATGATAGTAAATTTGTGTAGAATATAATAGTATGTACCTATTAATAGTCATCAATAATTTCTGTGTACAACAGTAGAAAAACAATAGAAATTCGATTCAAAAACACTGAACTTTAACATGCTGAAAGAAGCAATTGGTTGATCACATAAAATAATTATAAGAACAAAATTGTTTGTAATTATACTTTTAATTTTTATAATTTTAATATTAAGAATTTAAAAAAATATTAATAAATCGTGTTTTTTTATTTTATCATATTATCAAGTTAAAAACCCGGGTTCTCATGTAAGAAAATTAATTTTAAAGGTTTTTAACCCTGAAAAGATAACAAAAAAAGATTATTTAACTACTACGTATTATAGTTTTTTGAAACAATATTTTTTTTTACAAAAATTAAAAATTTGAAATGGTTTATGTGAAAATGAGTGTCTCATTCTTAATGAATTTCTCTCTATAAATGTGTGTGTTTGTTAAATTTATTAAGTATATTACCCTCTATTTTTTGTTAAATAATGATTTTTTCATAAAAATTTAATCAATTATTATAAACTATTGTAAATATAAAGTTTATTTAAAAAAAAAAAAATTATTTCTTAGAGTTGGTTTTGAGATAAATTTAGAAAGTTAAATGAAAACCCATTATTTTTTATCTAGTATTAAATGGAGAATTGTCTAATATAAAATTGATAATTACTTTACGAGTTATAATTGATAGATATAGGCGAGCGAAGTGCATAACATAGAATAATTCTTATCTGTTCATTATGATAAAAATCTTTTATAATTTTATGAAAAATTAGGATACATTATTAATTACACTATATATATAAGCTGATTTAAATTTATGTTAATTGAATTTATGTTAAATTTTAGTTTCAGTCTACAATAGAAGAAATTAAGAAGATAGAAAATGAATCATCATATCTACTAACAAAAACTTGATAGAAATTCAGTAAATAAAACTAATTGTTCACTTTCTATGAAACAAATGAAATATAACAATTGTTAGTCAAGTATAAAAATCATTTTTTATTAAAAATAACAACAGTTTCATAATTTTTATTACATATACTATTCATTAGAATCATCTGATGTTGTTACAGATGATATACTGCTTACACTTAATGAATCATTATCATCATCATCATCATCATCATTACATTTCTTTACATTCTGTGAATTCTTATTAACAATAATTTTTGATTTAGGTGTATAAATATCATTTTCCTCGTCTTCACAAGTATTCAATTTTGCTAACAATAAATCTTTAGATGTTGATGTACTGTTAGATTTAAAATGAAAAAATAGAAAAATAGAAAAAAATGTATCCTATATTACTATGAAAAGTAAAGTAAAATACCCCAAGTTGTTTGTTTTATACAGATATTTGAACATTTCTATTTAAATATTGTTTTTATAGATAAATATAGTTGATTTTTAAGTTTTTTTAGAGGAAATAGAAAAATTTTGTTTAAATGTGGTAAAAAACTAAATATCTCATTCTAAACAAAAATATTTTAATAATATGTTTGAATTATTTTGTCTGATTATAAGTGTATCAGTATCTGATTAAAAAATCGTATTCTATTATAATAATTAGGCCTAAACTAAAAAGAGCAAAAAGCAAAACCAAACAGCAATTAACATTCCAGAAAAAATTATAATATTAATAATAAAAAATTTTACTCAAATAATTTAACTGTAACTCGTGTACACCTTAGGGGAATCGACTTCGTATATGAGTGCCTTAAAAAAAAAAAATAGAAAGTATATCTCGGAACTCGTTTAAAATACAAAGACCGGCGCCTCCACAATTTGTTAGGGGCTAGTTTAATAGTTGAGTATCTTGGTCAAAACCANAATTTGTTAGGGGCTAGTTTAATAGTTGAGTATCTTGGTCAAAACCAAGAATCGGAAGCTACCCGACGTCTGTCCAAATATCGTCCCTATCTCCTTAAATGAGTTTTAATTG